CTCCGGCCGGGCCGAGGCGGGAGCAGGTAACAGGTGGTGGCGGCACCCGGCGGGGCCGGGGGAGCGGCGGCGGGGCCGGGGGGGGGGGGGGGGGGGGGCGGTTCCAAGGGCAGTAACGGTTGACGGAGGGGTGTGATCCTCCCGTAGCCCTCACCCTAAGCACCGCGCCGGGGAGAGCCGCGCAGGCGGTGCGACCCCGGCCCGGGAGCGTTAGCCGTTCGTAGCCCGAAGCGGCTGGACCGAGGGCTAGTGCGGAGCTGGCCAACGCCTTCCGAAGAAGCCACCGCCGGCCCTCGCGCGGCAAGGCGAGCCGCTCGGCTTACCGCCGTGCCTCCCGTCGTTCTCACGGCAGCAAAACGAATGTAAGCAGGTGGCACAGGGTTAAACGCTTCTTTCGGCTAACCGCTGTTGTATAGTAGTCTGCGTTCGGCTTTTATTTTTTCTTTTCCTACTGGATTGCAGTTTTGGATTATCCAGTCAGCGGTCAGGTCTCAGTCATCGTTATATTGCTGAAGGTAATTATTATTTGTGACTCTTTCCTGAGCTTTCTTTTCAACTAAAATGAACTGGAAGATCAATCGCCACTTTTGGAGGGAAAACTTGCAGAGATGTGATTCAAGACATTGGCTCGCCTCTCCTAGCTACAGCGTGAATGCCTTAGCAGGAAAAGGCTCCGCAGACAGTAAAGTCCCTTTAAGAGGTGTTTTCAGCCTGATAGCCAGCCATGCTTTATTAGCACAGTAAATATAATAGTGCACAGAGGGACAAGCATAATCAGAATGCAGCAAAATAGTTCACGGTGCAGTCATCATCATAACCTCAAAATTAAAAATTCCACAAACTCTTCTGAGACCTGTAACCCCATGTCAATTTACAGCCATGCTGCCAGCAGGTATATGGTGTATAAGCATTTGAAATAAACCAAGACAGTTTACATATTCTTACAAGGTGACCGAGTCATGAACTTGCATAGCTGTTCCCCTGTGTTATCAGGACTGTCGGACACTTCCTCAAATCATCGTGGTAAAATGTGAAAGAATGCTTGCAGAGATGGCAAAAGTCCTAGGAATAAGTAAACTTAAATAAGGATCAGTAAATATTTGATATAAAAATTAATTTTAAGAGAGCAATGTGTGCATGTTCAGTATGTCTTTATCCATTACATATTTTAGCTAACAGTTCATAAGTTACAGAAGTAATGTCTAATTTGTCCATCTCTTAACACATGCTTATTGTAACACACTAAACTGGGAAGAAAATGTGTAGAACTTGGCCGTGTTTGACTAAATGGAAAACACAGATTGTTACAGGTAAAGGCGTGTACAAGTATAACTCTAACAATATAAGTTATAGCCCATTTGAGTTCTGTTCTCAGTACATGTTAGGCCAGGCCCTGCAAACACTCCTAGTTATAACTTTCATAGCACAACTACCCTCATTATTTATGGTAATATTAGTTACAAAAAAACCCAAACCTCAAAACTGGATGAAGAATTAAAGGACTTTAAAAGCACTCTTTTTACATACTACAGTCACTTTCCTTTTCTTACCTTCTATGTACCTAGCCCTCGAATCCATTCTTTAACTGGACTATACATTTTTAGAGGAGAGATTGGATTTCATTTTCCTTTTACTTTAGCACCTAACACCGGGAGAACCTCATTCATTATTGCAACATTGTACCAATACTTGCAAACATTTAGGCAAATGATATACACGAGGTTGAGACGACAGCAGTTCTCTTCCCTCACACTTTCTAGTTGATGCCATTCAACAAATCAATGCTTTCTGGGACTTCAACCCTTCCTTTAAAAAATTAGTGGCAACCTTCCCTCTCACTGGGACTTCAGTAGGCCATTTAATTTTATAGTTCAGTGAGCATCCCCATTATCTCTCAGGATTTAGCTGCTGTATTTCAGAGCTTCTTTGGGGCCTCCAGCTCTTACCCAATAACCACATCCTGTTTACAAACGAGACCAATTCTGCTTAACCTCCTTACTTCATGTTGCCCACTCAGACCTTCCGGCCTCTGATGTCTGAAATCTCTTGCCAGCGTTTTATACCCCAGTCCAAAGCCTGACTGTCTTGCACAGCTGGGGAAGAAGCAAGCAGACCCAACTAGTTTGCAAAACCTTGTACTCAACTGTGACGGAGTCCAGCTGTGACAGAGCCACTGTTAAATGTTCGTGAGTCACTTGGTCCCAGCGGTGCATCTTCATTGGCCACACAAATGCCTGCCACCAAATAAATCCACTTGGCTTTGGTCTTCTTTGCCTGCCTTTTCTTACTGATCCTGTTATTTACTGCTCCTAGAAAAGGAGAGAGAGGATCGCCTGCTCATTTCTTAATCAGTATTCTACAGATACCACATAAGCAACCACTATTCCTAACAGGTATTTGAGGCAATGGGGCATGTAGTGTTGGCCTCCCTACCACTGTGATCCCACAGACCTTTAGTTGGTGCAGGTCAGACTTGTTGGGTCTTCTGCCTCAAAATAATCACAGTAACTTTACAGATAACTGCAGAGTGCAGCCATCACTGTGCTTATGGGCTTTTCTTTTTTCTTCTTCTTTTTTTTTTTTTTGTGGGGTAGTATACCACCAGTGTTAACATGAAGAAGAAAGGGAATTATGGTAGCCCTGCACGAGCCAGAATGAGTAAAAGCCCATGCAGTTATATAATGTATGCTAAGATTTGGTGGAACAATACCAGAGCAGTGGGTAGGTAGTGAAGTGACAGGTCCACTCACGGTGTTTGTCATTATGTTGTATATAAGCCCCAAAAGTGTTACCAGTTGTATCCAGAGAAGGCAGTGTAGTCCAGGTGATTTGCACACCATAATAACTATTGTACTACGCAGCACGGATGAGAAAAGGACCATCAGAAGTGACCTCAAGATCTCTGCTTGGCGTCTAACAGCACTAAAGGTTTTGACAGTCAGTCAATCCAGGCTTTGAAGACTAACTAAGATGCTTAGCTTTCCTGAGAACTTCTTAATGGTGCTTAGTCACTCACACTGCAGAGTCAGGATCGACTGAGCCCTAGCCAAACATTTCCTTGCCATAAATAGAAAGAAGCTGGGAAACATTTCTGAACTAATCCTATTCAGGTTGTTCTACTCAAATGTATTGGACAGGGCAGTGTAGCCACAGCTCCAAGTGAGTTTTGGAATCTTTCCTGGCTGCTGGGAAACTGCTCAAGCTTTCTAGACTCAGAGCTGTTGCCAAACAAACATCTGTGATTTTTTTTTTTTTTCTCCCCAATAATCTGCATTGGTGACAAATCCTAAGGAGGGCTTCCAGCTATAGGTCAACTTTTTGATATTTCTGCAGCTTAATTTGAATAAGCCGTAAACAAGAAGGAAATGAAGAGCATGTGTCAATTAGCTGGTCAGCTCCTGGAAAAAAAGCGATGCTAGTACTTGCCATAACCTCAACTGGAGATGAACTGTCTACTCTTTGTAAAGTCACCCATTTCAGAAACATCCTGATTGACCAGGCCTGTACTGATATGATGAGTTCCTGCATCTGGAAGCCTGTGCGGTCTTTGGCAGGCTCACAGATTATGGGCATCTTTTATTAAAGGCCTATGGAACAGCGTGACTAACACCCAATGTATGGATGCCATTAGGCTGTATGGATGTGCATGGCAGAGAGAGGGCACATCCTACTGCTGCAGAGACTGCACCAAGATTCCTGCACATTCATCTCAGGTCGGCAAGCATAATGACAAGTGCATACATTGGTTGTTGAAGTATGAACTGGAAGGGCTCTGTGGCATTGATCTACCCAACTAGTACAGATAATAATATACAAGTGCCCACGTAGCTGTTGTGTGTTGAGCTAGAGCATGGCAAAAGAAAGAGGCATGGTTGTCTTAGGAAGAATTTTGGGAATTGTTACCAGCTGACCACTGTTGGTCTCTGAATGCTGGCCACTACCAGTGGTATGTGATGAGGTGAATAGCTACAATGCCCTAGCAAGGGAGAGTACATAAGGCAAAAGGAATGGATGACAGCAGCACTATGCAATGGAAACATGAGATTTATGAAAGAGGTTGTGCACTGTCCTCCTTAGTAACTCACATGCTTATTTGCACCTTTGTCCCACCACTCTCATCTTGGACCAGACAAAGGCAGTGTCAGCTATTAAACTATATACAAAAATTTACTGTATCTAATGAAAATATGTTTATTGCTTATTATCTATTGACCTATTTACATATTATTCTCATATTCACTGATACACAGTCCTTTCAAAAAATGTTGTACTTAAGCATCCATCTGTCTTTTGCCATGAGATAAAGGCTCTTTAAATAAAAAATAAATAACACTA